CAGTCATTTGATTTACAATTATGTTCTAATTATCCGTTCACACCACCTTAGATTTACGCATGTTTTATGGGATTTCCTTGGCAGTTCTTTAGGGTCAAACACGTTCGCACTTATGTTTCTCCTACTTATGTTACGGTCAAACACGTCGATACTTATGTTTTCCCTTACATTTCCTCTTAGTTACGCGAAGGATGCGCACCTGTATAAATAGGGGTTACCACCCATCTCGCTTAAGAGAATTAAGGACAAGAACTACTACCAATCTACCTTCATACAAAATTCCTCCTCGCTTAGCGTGCCCGCAGTATACTCTTACTACTGTGTCGTACTTTCGTACAAAGTTAATAAGATAGTGCCGTACCCACACATTTGAACAGGTTGGACTCACCTTTATTAGCCTTCCTCTTGGCCAGGGACAGGATCGCAGGATAACATGCCACCCGGCAAGGGGCATCCCTTCCGTGAACCACACCGAAAACCTTCCGGATACAGTTCCTTCCCTGCCCCAACATCTCGCTAGCCATCCGATCACCCCCAAGTCAGGAGCCCGAGGACGACTGTGATTCAGAATCAGGTTTAAACCACGAGTGGCCAGCCATAAGCTGAACCTTTGGACGGGCCAGGGAGGCCTAATGGTGGACTATGGCCCTCATCTAGACACAGTAACGGACTCAGGATACCGACCTGAAGGATCACAGTCAGCCCATCAGCCGCAAACAAGGGGTGTACTTCCCATGGGTAACGGCAGGTGTCCAAAGCCATCATTGTCTTTGCTCCTTGAGCCCCGGTCTGGGTGAACCAGACAAACGCATTTCACACACTCAACACCCTCACCCATCCACACGGCAGGCAACCAGAGTGAACATTAGTTGCACCACTCCATGCGGCGGAATTCAGAGCTGGCTATGCCGAAGCAATCCTCACCCATATGTGGCATGTCGTTGTGGGACCGGCACGCGCATCCGTCCTGTCATGCCCAAAGACACACGTAGAACCAAAGTCCTAGTGCAATGTGTCAATGACCCAGCCTCAGAGGAATGACCCCCCTTCGCTATGCCATAGGGTATGGGCTGCACCACATTACCCGTGGCCGACCGTGCCTTGCCGTTCTCACCAACCGCCTGGATGTTGAAACGACTAACCAAACTCCGGAGCATCGGGTCCATACGCCCACGCCAGCCCGCACAGAGCCGAGAGGTGACCTATCCAAGCGCTAGCAAGACACACGAACCGAGCTGCTTACCCAGACATCGGCGGGCCCACATTCAAAGCGGGTAGCGTCTCGGTCGGTTAGTTATCAGGTCAGCATACGGGGGCTGTTCCCCTCTTGGTAAACACAGGATCGCCCCGTGAAACCCTCCCCGTTGCCTTGACATGACCGCCAACCAAACACTCCACCTCTTTCATCGTGACAAGCTTGGCATTAACAACCACAGCCCTCACATCGTCATCAAACGCCTTATTCATAGCGTTGACGCAACCGTAACTATGAGTAAAGGAGAGGAACGCATAATCCCCTCCAGGTGCACGGTAAGACCGTGTCTTGATTTCGACGAGGCGGCGGCGATGTTTCACAGCGTCATGTGCTGGAACCGGGACGTCGACAATAACCGAGGGCGTACCTAAGGAGAAAGAGGAAGGCTCCGCATCCGTGAGCATGGACGAGGAGACCTCAAACGACAAGGCCGAAGCCTGAGGAGAATGGGAGGGAGACGACATGTCTGCCCGCCCGACTGCACCTGGGATTACCGGGCTTAAACCACGGATATCTCGCCCAAAGTGCCTTCGAGGCTAGGTAGCGCACACCAACTCAACCCTAAGCGAGGGGAGGAGGGAGTAAAATGCTTCAAGCGTGGTGAAACAAAATAAACAAACAAAGTGCAAAATAAATAACCGAGCCGAAAAGCTTCAAAGAGGTAAAGGAATATCCCTGGCACGTAAGAAAGGGTGTGCGAAGGAGATTACCAGATTGCGTAAAGAAAGTAAAATACAAAGGGGCACACCCCTTTATATACTAAGAAAATCCTCCATGATCACTAATACAAAAGAAAGTCCTTGGCATCGCGCACAGCCGCAATTCCTCCATCTGGTTCTGCTATCTTCTGTTACGCAGCAACACATCCCAATCATTCATACAAGGGAGACCAACCATACAACCAAGAAAACGACAACCAATATATGCAACGAAAAACCTATGCATATTCCGTCTCCATAGCTGGGTGGCCGTGATACCTACGTGATACCGATAGTCAAGTCCTTTTGACTTCTATCTTATCATGTCTATTTCTCTAATCTTCTTAAGTTCTGGTTTAGGACTTAATCGTTTGACATAGGATGAAAGATAGTTTTCTTGCTTGGGAGGAAAGACAATTCTTGGGTTCTTAAGATAAATCTTAAAGAGCATAAAGGTAGGTTTTATTGATAAAACTTAAAGGTAGGAAATAAACAAGAAGAACATATGAAGAGCTCATACTCGGGGTCCTAGTTACCCTTTATATAGTCGCTCTTCACCTGGCGTAACTTATACCTCACATCACGCGAATCCTGTAACTCATAACTATGAGTCATGTGAAATCCATCAGCTGACTCCTATGAGTTGCTACACAACATGCCTAAAACCAATCAAAACATAATAACCAAGTCGTGTGTGCAACTCATGTCACCTGAGTGAAACCCATGACTTATAAATTGAGTCATATACGAAAATCATAACATCGTGTGACTCACAACTGTGAGACATGAACAGGTAAACATAATGACTTATGGTACACTAGTGTGCGTCATATGAAATTCCAACATACTTATAGCTCAGAATCCCATACTATGTGAAATCTGCCTTGCTTAGTTATAGTTTATGACAGATAGATCCAAGAAGTACGACTTTCTGAATCACGAAGGGATGTGCGAGTACTCCAATAGTCTGATACTGCCTTCACTAATCCTGCTACAGTAATATCTATACAAATCATTAAAATACTATCAGTATATTTAAATATTGTAAACTCTACTATTAATATAATAGTTAAAAAAGACCACAAATAAATCAGTAGTGATACCTTCATTGGAGTCTCTCAGAGATTCTCGTGCAGCTAGCAATATTCCTTTATCTTCTAACATACAAATTGACTTTACATGTTTACCACGTCTACTATGCTCAATAGTACGTCCTATTATTCACTCCCTTTCCTGCCTCATTACTCTCCTCAGAACACATCCACCTCCAAATCCTATTACAGCAGCCATGGCAGCATCCTTTCTGGAGAGATCAGGTCTCCATAGCTGCCAGACTAAAAAATGTTGTATTTGGAGGTATCATTCAAGATTGGAATTCTCTTTTGGCCGTTGATTTTTTTTTTTTGACAAAAGCTTTTGTAAGTCCTTCAGTTCTATTATTTATAATGTCTCATAATCCCTTGTTAGCTGCTTATTTTTTCTTGAAATATACTATAATAGAAAACTTTTAGTCTAGGAATATCTCTTACCATCCTGTAAAAACTTGATTTTTATAGGTTCCAGAACTCGTGGCCATTTTTTTGACCAAAGAGTTGTAGTATCGTCGAAATCATGCCACTCACTATGTTGACTGACTTCTTGAATGTTTTTTTTCCATCGCCAAAGGGTGGACCATGAAGGCTGTGAAACACTGGTAGTATTTCCCGGATCTGTTTTGTTTTTCCTTGTAAACTTTTAATTCTCAGCCACAGCTTGCACTATATTATAGTCTTATGACCTATTATTATTTGCCTTACAGATTTTGGATTATACTTGAGGTTTATTCTTACGATTATCTTGCAACACCATAGTACTGGCATGATGTGTATGCTCAGAAGATTTCTCTACTGGATCTGTCCTCTCTGTACACAATTGAGTGCCAGTTGGACCACCAGTAGAGTTATCTGAGTCTCCGATTAAGGATTTTTGATCAGCAATTCGCTGGTGTTTTTGATTTTGATATGATACTCCAGCTTGTGCAGCTAATGCCTGCAGATGCTTTCGCTTTCAAGTGAACGCTGGCATGGTTTGGCTTGATTTAAGACAATGAAGGATGGCTGTAAATCCAAACATGCTGAACTAGTGACAATCTCATCACTATTTTGCAATTGTCAATTATGTCATTCTTTTTCATCAACTCTTCAAGTTTTCCAAGGTTCAATTTCTACACCCACCAGCGAATAATTGAGTACCCGTTTTACTCTCACCAAAAATCCTCGACCTTATCAACAATAGCCATTTCAAGCTTCCCAATATTCCTTAAAGTGGAACCGCTGAGACTGAGCACTACTCATTTCCTATCTCTTTCCGGTTTCTGTTTCTCAATATTATTGGTTTTGGCTTTGCTATGTAAATTCCGGTTTCGACACTTTTGAGGTGCACGTTTTAAACGATTTGCACTGTATCATGGGTGTAAACTCTATCTTGGAAGATATTGCCCTCATACAATAAATCTGGCTTGATTGATCTATTTAATTCGGAAGAAGTGAAAATGAAATAAGAAATAGGACCACATTTCCCGTGTGCTACCTACTGTACCTACCGGTAGTATTACAGAGTGGCAAACTAGTATTATAGATATTCAAGTCTGGAACAGTCATAGAATATCACTCAGTTTGTTCCTGGGTTGTGTCTGCTACTGGCGGTATCGTACGCTACTTGACTACTTGACCGACTGGCGTCGCTAGTGTTGCGGCATACGGTAGTCTACCGGTCCCTAAAGTGGAGCGCGGATGGCGCCACCTAACTTATAGTCTACGTGTCCGAAAATCGCATCCACCGGTTGGAACTATGAAAGTTTACTAAACCCCCTCATTCTCTCCTCCCCCCCGCCTTAACTCTCGGGATCTAGTATAGCGATTAGTCTATCACCTTTTCCCGTTTCAAATGTCGCTTCACATTTTGAATAGTTTTTCCACACGATGAAATTCACTACCGTGGCCCTTTCATGGATACCCGAGTACTGTCTCTCCACTTGCAGAGCTCCCGGTAAGAATGGTTATGGGGCCGTTTACGGTTTGTTGATTCCAAGTGTGGGGGGTTTTTTTTTAATTTTTTTCTTTTGACAACTGACGGTGATGCCGGTGCTATATCCCCTATTCGGCCCGTTTGATATTCTGGTGCTTCCACATAGATGAAGATCTCCAATGACTGTTCAATGGCAGCACACATCGAGTAATTCCTGACAACGTTCCGCCAAATGCCGCAACTAGATGCTTCCGACCAGGGCTGGTGTTGAACCTGGGTAGGCTGCCGGAATAATTGGGCAGGTTCTTACTATTGTGCAGATCTTGAGCTTGGTCGTTGATGCTTGCTCTCTCGAGTTGGAATGCCGGTCGGTACCGGTACGGTAGTATTGCCCATGCCGTGGATTGGAAACCGTGGCCTTCTTTCCATTAGGGGGTTTAGCACCGAGCATCGGCACCTTTCTCTGGCCAGTGCATAAAGCGCCCGGGTGTTAGGCTTTGGGCGGAGGACATCCTTGAGGAGGGTGAACAGCCTCGCCTTCTGTTAAATTAAGGCTCGCCCAGAGCACCGCCGCCTCAGGCGCTTGGCATGTCTGCTCGAGTGCTGGCCTAAGCCCAGAGTGTAGGCTGTGCTAGAATCAGGTCTTGGAGTCTTTCGGGGAGGGTTCGATAGACTTTCCCGTCCCAACTATCTCCTCACCGGCCCTCCTGAATGGAAATGTTGGCCACATTACGGTACTCGTACGTGGTAAAGTACCGCCCACCTCGTAAATCGCCAAAGTGGGGCAACCGCTACGGGAACTACGGTACGCTGTGGGGAGTGGTGACAGAGGATTACGGTATTATTATTGTCACTATTGGCTGCTACTAAACTCATGGACCCTTAATTGTAGGTATTACTGGTACAGTACTTCTTGCTAGACCTGTACTTCTAACTCGTTAAATTGAGTAGCAGCCTGGCAAGGTTTGATCACCCCGGCGGGTGGGATTTGGAGACTATTGTAGGTTCACAGGGGTTTGGGGATCCGTGACGGCTGTTAACGCAATCCTCCTATTCCTTTTTAGTGGACTGCTAGGTTTTCTGGGGAGCTTTTTTTTTTTTTTCAAAACGGAGATTAGGAGATACTCGATTTTTCGAGTGGATGCGATATCTCTATTACAAGTACATCTCAGACAACAGTTCATGTCCAAAACTTCCACCCTTCCTGATCTCCCTGTAGTCCAACCCCAACCAGTTTTTCGATGCCCCGAACATCGACAGCCTTCTCAAACTTTCCCTGGTTGACTCCTTCAAACACCGCGGGCCAAAGCACCCCAACTCCGTCGGCACCTAGGACAGTCTCATGTTTCCGAAACCCTTCTGTCGTAAGCTTCCACTCTACCTCTTCCATGGTCTCAGCTTTGACACCTGGACGGAGGAGCACAATAGCACATCCGCCGCCTCCAGCACCAGTGAGTTTTGACCAGCCAATGCCCGCGTGATCCACAAGCTCACGGATACGTTCTAATCGAGGATGAGAAACCCCCAATGAAACCAGCAACTGGTGGTTTCTACGGATCAATCCCCCCAAGTGTTCGAGAATATCGGAAATGCCATTGCCATCGAAATCAGAGGATGTGATGAACTCCAGTGCAGAGGCCGTAAGTCGGCCGATCCCATCTAGGATTTGCTCCGTCCTGGGTATTTCGCGTCTTGATGTCCTTACTCTCTCCACCTGTTCCGCTGTTGAGCGTGATTGTTGTGTGTCAATGAGAAGGAGAGATAACTTCGGGAACGTGGTAAGAGGAGTGACGGACGGTGATCCAGAGTCGTTTCTTTGGAAGATTACGGCCTTTCCACCCGAACAGACCGCATTGTCCACTCCACTAGGGTCTCCATGTATGCACATCTCACCCACGAATGCCCAGCGATTAATGCGCTCAATCTGGAGCTTTGCTTCCTCGGGAGGTTGGTCAGTGTAGGGTCTGGTGAGGGTGCGCATCTGAAGGAGCAGTGCTGTGCTCAAGCAGACGCAAAGGCTGGCACTGCTACCCAGACCAGCGCCAATTGGAATGGTGGATCGAAGAGTGTAGATGAATCCAGGATTTTCCGGGGAGCCTAGGGAGAGGTAGAGGTAGAGGAAGGCGGTCACGGATCGCAAATGGATTTTTCGCTGTTTCTCTTGAAGGCCCTTCGACACGGCCTCTGCATGCGGTATAATGGCGTTGAGTAGTTCAGGGTCGAGGGAGTTGACGAGGGACCCAGAGAACCTTTTCTTGGAACGTTGGCGGAAAATATCCCATGGCAGACCGTCGATTTCCCACGTGTAATTTAAGCCAATGTCTCTGAAATCCAACCTGGCGGTGCGTTGGGCCTTGGAGAGGGTGGTGACAAGGAGATAGGATCTGAGAGAGATGGCTGCAGCAATGGCTGGCTTGCCATACACGGCAGCATGTTCACCAAAAACAATGACTTTTCCTGGTGCAGACACCATGAATGTGGGCACCACTGGCGAAGAAGCTTGTCCCTCCATGACTCTGAATAGTAGGACCTGTTGGCAGAGGGTTTGGCGGTTGAGCTGTTGGTGGAATGGGTTTGGTGGATGGAGTGTTGAATGATGTAGTGTTGAAGTGAGTTGGAAAACGTCCAGGACGGTGCTGCGGGGCTCATGTGCGCTGAATGTTGAATCAGGGTGCTTCTCGGTTTTCAAGGTGGATTGACGAAGTCACGGTGATAGCAAACCAAACACCGGAACATAGAAACGGCAAGCAGCGAACCAGCGAAACCACCAAACGCCAAGATCTCACACGAAAGGATTGCACCACCCAGGAGCGGGGAAAACTCTTGTTCGTCACTCTCTCAACTAACCAACGGTAAAGATAGGAGTAATGGGTTATTCCTAATCAGATCTACCCAGTTGGCCATGTTTTCGGAGCCAAGACCGTTACTTACACACCCGCACCCTCCGGTCTGTTATTCCATCTTCGTTAGCATAATTTCCAACAAGCTTCAGGATGATAGCTTACCCTGCCACAAGAAGGGCAACATGTGCATGGCTACATATTGCATCACTCTTAGCTCCGTATGTAGCAGCTCGGGGGTGAGATAAGAGTCTGGTGATGGTTTGCACAGCGTGTTCATCAGATTGAAATGGCGGAGGTTGGGGTTGTTGCCAGTTCGTGGCCCATTAAGATAATGCTAGTGACTGGAATTATCACTTATATCATTTTTGCATCACTAAATATCCCGCCAGTGTCAGCTCGATCACGGAAAGCCATATATTCAGAGTTCTAGGATTATCACTTACATGACGCTTCATCCTCGGGGGCGAGCTCCTTGATTACAACTGCAATTGCAGCTGGGTGGAGGGGTAAGTTGGCAAGTATATACCGTATGTCAGAGGCTGGTGCTGTACCCGTATAGTAGAGCGAAGAGACAAAAGAGCACTGAGTAGAGTAGAAGCTGGTGGATGGTGGTGAAGGTGAGGATGGTTTTTCGACCCAACAACCCCTCCATTTATATCTTTTACAGCGGTAGCTTGGACAAGCTTCCTACGGGGACTGACGCCCGTTTCTTCTGGCTCGGACTCCATTACCTCTTCCTTATTGGTGCCCTCTCCGTATCCTCTCGCAGCTGCCTGTCTGAGTTTCGCACCAACCAACCAGTCAGCAACTACCGTAGCGGTACCGAGCCTTGATGGCGCACCATACTATAGACCCACCATCGCCAGTCCGCATTGGATCTCCCCGATCATAAACAAGACACCTCGAGAAGGGATAGTGTTGTCCAAACGGAGCATAGCTTGGGGGACATGAGCTTTCTGGATCTCATCAACCGGTATTCGCAATATTGCTAAGCTATCCTGCTATGCCTGTTGAGGTTTAGACAGTGGTTTCCCTCTGAGATCCTCGATGGTGGGCTTACTTGCAGGTGGTACTCGGGTATGGACGTCAGTGGTCGGCCAGACAGGGGTATGCAGGGCGGCCTGAGAGCACATCCGCGAATGAGAAAGGGAGATAGTACTGTACAAGTAAAGAAGCACTATGGCTGATCTTCCGGAATACGAGTTCGGATCAGTGAAATGTATCAGACAAAGTGCTACTTTACAAGTACCAGAGCAAGATGTTTTCGTACAAGGGTTGCCAAGAAAGCCCTTAGGGGGGGTGGTGAGAGAAGCAAGAATACCGCCGAACAGCAAGGGAGTGTGGCAACTGGGGGCCACTCCGCAAAATAGAATACTTGTATTTTTTTCCTTCTGTCCTTTTCCCCTCATATTTCTCTACTTGACCCGGTTCTCATAGTATCTATTGTACACGTGTTACCCTGTGTATTATTATGGACACCTTTTCATACCTTTGTTCTTTTCTAATGTTACTGTGTTTTCCTATGCAACGAATCTGATATCCTAGACATCCCTGCTATTCTGACCTTGTAGGAGTACCGTATTATACGAAAACATCTTGCCTGGCAACTGTACTGCCTCCTATGCGGTGCACAGACGTTGTCTCAGGTCATGCATATCCCTGTCTGACCAATCACTAACGTCCATACCCGAGTACTCGAGTACCGGTACCGGTAAATATGGTAGTGAGTTACAACTGACGGGCACCTTGACTGTGGCATTGCTGGCGGTACCGGTGAAGCAAGGGCAATTAGCCTTGGATGGGATAGACATATGATGAGGTGGGGAACTTTGCCTGGTACAAGGGATGCTACAGATCAGCATTTAATGTCACCTACCGGTACAGTACCACTGGCGGTTGGGGGCTCTTCCAACAGGAGTTTATAAACCGGCCTACCCCACCACAAGAAGCTCTCACTCCGCATCTCGAAAATTATTAAAAAAAATCAACAACTTAGATACGACAAAAGAGACTCACAACAACATGGATTACCCTTCACTCTCCCTGTACAAGGCTGGCCTTCTCAGCGCCGGCTTTTCCAAGATGGAGAAGGCCTGGGTCTACACCCGCCTCATTCAGATGTTTCTTTCCGGGCTTCTCGTGATCAAGACACTTATACATTTCATGAGCGGCCGGCCTACGGATGTTTACCCTGTCATCATCACGGTACGCACCGTACCCGCATCTCCTTTTCAAGAACCTGCAGCTGACTCTGATAGAATGGTGTTATCCTGATCTACGTTATCCTCTCGCTGTGGCTTCACCGGAGACGGAAGTTGGTCAGTCGGTTTGATTTCTGGTCTATCAACGGGCACATGGACGTCGGTGGGATGGTAGGGTACATCATCACGACATGCGCGTGTAATCTTAGCGCTTGGCTCAGACGCGGGCTGTGCGACTACCGCTCGGCGTACTGCCCCAACCGGGGTTTCCATATCGTCTGGATGTCATTCTCGTGGTTAGTGCCATCGCGAGGATAATGATTCAACTTAACATTAAGGCTAAATAAATTCATAGTGTTGCGTTCGCCTTATCTGCCATTCTCTGCTTCTACCTCCACTTTTGCGGTGGTGAGGGCCGCATCGCTCTCCCGGCCAATGAGGACCCCCCATCCTACCAGCCCGTCAGAAACTCGTCCATCGCGGCTTTGGCCATCGCCGTGCCGGGAACCCGATCCATGAATCCGGACACGGTGATTCAGGGAGCGGTCGACTACATCGACAGACTACACCGAGACGCCAGAGCACGTGAGGCCGCCGGCGCTCCAGAGCCCGAAGGGACTTCAGGGGAATCGAGCAGCGCTAGCGCTGCTGTTCCGGTCCCGGACCTTTCAGCGCAGTTGAGTGCTATGGCGGCTAGGATTGAAGCTATGGAAAGGTCGAACGATAGTAAAGAGTAGAGAACACATGCTCTGGGGGGTGTGGATGAGAGGACGGATATTCACTATTGAACGCACCATACAATCAGAATCCTCCTCATTCCATCGCACCCCCGCCGGATTCTTCTTTGGCGCGCATGGCGGGCGGATTCTCACTGCTTTTTTGTTTGTTTGTTGTGTTGGCTATATCTATTTACTTCATATTCATACACTCATTGAATTTGATTTCCTGAATACGCAAACTTAATCACGATTTACCAGTTGACCTGGCATAATGGTACCCATAACCCCATACACTTTCAGTCTGATCGACACCTCACCAGCGCTCGTAGATTGCAAGGCCGCCAAAAGACGACGACCCACATTATGAACGGAATGGTACATATACACGCTAAGAGAATCCGTAAGGAGTAACTATTTTTAGAATCGGAGTGGAGGGATGGATTGGGTTCCAGGGGTGGGATGGGCTTTGCAGGGATTGTGAAGATGAGTTTGATGGGCGGGCTGCTTGTCTGCCGGTTAGTAGATAACTATGATATACATGGTAAAGTTACGGCACTCGTGCACATCTCTCTGTTGCGCTGCGCGCCCTACCTGCGTGTTTGGCCTTGATAGATATGGTAGAACGGGGCTGTTTTGGAAAGGGGTATTGTAGGGATCTAGTGCTTGTGCCGCACGAGTACAAGGCGTGACGTTTTCGCTCAAGACGGGGGAACCTTTTGCCGGTCAACAACCCGGTCTTGTACGAAAGCACCACCTCTGGCACCAGTACTTGTACCCTGGAACCACTTATAAAATACAAATCACCACCCCCACCAGTCCTATACTTGTAGCCTCCAGATTCAGAGTCAAAGGATCACGGGAAGGATTAGCATCCTCCCGACACAGGATGCGTTGGACTTCATTGGCTGGGTTAGCGATTTTTGAATTATTGAACTAAGTTTATTGTGGGGCTGATGGGCTGATAGGCTAGGGGTGGGCTGTGAGGGATACTCCAGGCACGGTGAGCAAGGTATTGGTATGGTATCACGTCGGGAAGGATAATAAACGGGGTCATGAATCATGAATCGTCACTCGAGATGGTTTAAGGAAGCCGCGTTCTTAATGCCGGGGAACCACTCAAAATGTTGGAGGATTACGCGGTGGTTTGCACTTGTACCCAAAGCATTTGTTGGTGGTTTGCTGTACGGTCTGTTGTGATTGTTAATATCTTGTGTTGTGTTTGGTGGTATAGTTCCCCATTTGCTTGAGGGATTCCCTTGAAATCTGGTGTGTGAGAGGGGTCTCTAGCTGCGCAGGGGATTTATGGATCATACCTCATGTTGCGTTGGAAGGGTAGGCAAAGCTCCACTGGCATGTTGTACGGACACCCCCCCCTCGACTAGATAGCTAAACTTGTGAAAATGTTGTCCCTAAATTTTGGCGAGTTAGTTTCTCACAACGAATTAGAATCTGTCTGAGTGGAATTGATCTCCAAGCGCCTCGCGATCTCGTGCACCTTCACTGGATACTATTTCTAAAGCTCATAAATTCGCAGTACAGGCTCGGAGCCACAATCCTGAAGAACCTAGCATAGTTCACTAGCGAAAGCCCACGGCCTCACACTTCCACCAGAGCGAAATGTAAAAGTGCCCTCACAGCCGTCGACCTGAATCTTCAGAGAACACAGCAGGCCACCGGGTCATCCCGAGATGCCTGAGCGCAGTGCAAAAGCTTTCCACAATCTGCCACTCGTAATGGGAATAAGGCGGTGAGCATCAAGAGCAGTAGCTAACCTCATGGTAAACCAGAAGCACGGAAGTAGATGTTCCTGCTCGGGGTTTTTTTTCGCCCGCACTATATAGACTGAGTACAGCACGGCCCCGAAAACCGATCCCTTCACAATGCTGTCCGGTCTTCTCAGGTTTAATGGGATGCTCGGGTTCATCTAGTCAATTCAAAACCAGCATTCCAATCACCCCTCCCTTCTTCCCTCACCTTTCTCTAACATAGCTGATATTGCCCACCAGTCCACCACCTATATCTAGTGTTGGCAGCGACGGAGTGGCCACCCTAAAATCTGACTTAGCCCGCCACGCACCCTGAAAGATGAAGGAGGTGGTCATGGCTAATCATGTCTGGCGGGTAAAGGTCCGGTGAATTGTTGGGTGAGAGTTGGGGTAAGGGTCGGGGTCGTGGTCGAAGTCGTGGTCGTGGTCGTGGTCGTGGTCGGGGTCGGGGTCGTAGTCGGGGTCGTAGTCGTAGTCGTGACAAGAATCGAAGTGAGAGTCAATGTGAGCGATGTGACAGTCGAGATCGGGGTTAGGGTTAAAATTGTTTTAACAAAACAATTAGGAAGTACACATGACCAACAGCTGATTGTTAGTTAATTCGGGTGAATCACTCAACCATCCGCTTGTTCACTCACTCCTTCACTCCTCTATACTTGTACAAACTAAGCCTCATATAATCTCATCGATACCGCAATACGGTGTTAAGTCTTCTCTCTCCGTAGTTGGCTCCCCCACCTAATACCCATCAATGGCCATGGTATGACTTGTGACTACCGATATCAGCAGGGCATTGGAGTTGCCGTTCCCCGTAAGGTTTTTATATCTCCAACTAAGTGCTCAAGGGGGTCCTTCCATTTTTTTTATTTTTTTCAGGTTCTCACATAGGCACTTCGCACGGACGGATCCGCCAGAACCACTCGTGTGGTCGCCCACCCAGTCAAAGAAATCAACTGGTAGACCAATCACGTAAAAAGATGCTCAATCTCCTTGCTTTCCTGTTCGCTGGTGTGGGCTCGGTGCACGGTTTCGACTCGGTGCACAGCTTGGACCTGGCGGCGTGAGTAGACAAAGACCAAATTAATGCTGCAAAGTGAAAAGGTGGTGTTGTCATTGGGAGTTTCAAGGTACAAGATGCTGTAGCTTGAAAATTTTTTGACACTAGACTACTTGCGCATCGTCGTTCTAGCGTCGCGAGATTCTAGCGCCGCGAGTACTGTACAGTACCTGCACGGAACAGGTCAGCAACCATCAATAAACCTCGAGCAGACATATTGCAAAGACTTAGCATACCAATTCTCACAACACTGGAATTGAACAGACCAGTATTTGCACCTTTTTTACATCCAGTTTGTCACTACTCGCACGGCTGGGCTGAAGTTGGACACTATGACGCTCCTGTACCCACGAGTCAACGAGAAGGTCAAACAAGACAGGGATCCTTAGTACAGTACCGGTACCTGCATCCTCCCTGGGTGATGTCTAAGGTTGCCACAACGCACGACTTCAGCTCGGCCGCACAACCGGCCGCACGAGTGCCGGTACTGAACTGACTGTGTCCAAACCACTGAGTCAGCTTGTAGACCACATCAAGAGCCCAGGGCAGGGTCCGTGGTAGTGCCGCTATTCGTTTCTCTAGTCGGGCGATTCATAAACTCTGAACCTTAGCGCGCTGAACCAACATGGTGAGACCGCCTGACGAGCGAAGGTTTGATGGCCCTGGCAACAAAAAAAAAACGGCCCCACATGGCTCGTGTACTCGAGTACCCAAGCGTGTCTGTACTCGAGTAAAACTGGAGGGTCAAAGCTCTCAGTACGCCGCGAACCGAGTACACAATACCGGTATACCCCGCAAATACAGGTATACTTGTACTGCTTGAATAAGATGACCAGACCTCTGTACTGGTATGCTGCATCCCGCCTCCCGAGGATGTTTTTGCGTACTTTAAATACGCCTCTACCGAAGCACCTGTACCTTCCGTGTACCGAAAGCTTTGAATCTCCCCAGAACGCATGCCGGTACTGTACCGGTAAGAGATATCCCCGTAGAGATCTGCACGGGATCAACAGAAACGCCGATGCTCTAGCTTCCCAATCATTACCAAAACACCAGAGCACCAAGGACTTTAAACCCCGCGGAGCACCGTAGATCAGCTCATCGATAGACAACCATTTTTGAGGGAGGGACAACAAACTGGTATGACCTCCCTCCTCCTCTTGCAAATTTTGTACCCGTAGTACAAATCGCATTGTGCACTAGTACGAGTACAGTACTAGTACAAGTACCGGTGATCAAACCGTGGGCTATGTTGTTGGAACTGCCTCCTCTGGTAAGTTAATATGCGGGGTGTCCTTTTTTTACGCCTCTCAGGGGCTCAGCAGCTTTTTTTCATTTTTTTTTTGTCATACCCCTTTCCCAAGTAGGGAATTCTCAACATCATAGCACAGGGCTCGGTTGTTTGAGCTTTGACCGTAGGGTACAAGTACTCGAGTACAGTACTCGGGTATAGACGCTAGTCATCAGTCAGACAAGGGTAGGAGGGGCCTGAGAGCACATCTGTGAATGACAGGAAGACAGCAAAGCAGCGCTATGGCTGGTCTTTCGGAATACGAGTACCGGCACAGTACCGGTAGTGCTGTATGAAACTCATAGACACAGACCAGCTGCGTGCTGACCCCGCGAATTGTTGGCTGCCAGTCAAATTTTGTATTGTCGGGAAAGGAAGGCACCGGTACTGTACAGTACTATGGGTATATTCGTCAAAACAATGCGCTGAATACCAACAGTGGTGGAATGAATAGATAGGCCAAAAGCCCCCGCATGAACATTCAACACAAATGCCAGCAAGGAGGGTAGGTACTTGTGCAAATGCTCTCTCTGCCCTGTGATAGCGAGCAAAAGACCGACTACCGAAAAATCTTGGACAGTAGAAACTCTCTCCTAACAGTAGTGGATGAATTTCCAGTCCTCCAAGACGACGCTTCCCCATCGTCCGTCCCAGCGCACCGAGATTCCCGTGTTGCGACTACAGTACAGTACTGTGGATGGGCACGAGCGAACATTGACCTGTCAGAATGCAATGACTCGCCAATTCCCGCGACCCGAGAATCTCACCATCCCATAACGCTCCTTACCGACTTTCCATCAAACAAACCATCTAAACTCACTGCACAACTAGCTCAGACGAGTTTGTTATACCCAAGTTGCATGAATTGGATGGCAGGCCATTTATGTTGGGGGTGGGGAAAGACTGTTTTCTCAACTCTCAATATCCTTGAGGGTACAAAAGGCACCAGAACGCACAGATACTAATATCTATAGGCTCCGACACAGCAAATCATTTTCACTATGACCGACACCATCACCAGTCAATTTAACGAGTTCCCTCTTGATGCCGTCAACGACACGCAATCCACCTTCTGGCAAAAAGAATTTTTATCGAGATAAATCTATA